AATGAGTGAATGAGTGAATGAGTGAATAAGTGAATGATTAAATAATTGAATGAATGAATGAGTGAATAAGGGAATGAGGGAATGAATGAGTGAGTGAATAAGTGGATTAATGAATGAATGAGTGATTGAATGAATGAATTAGTGAATTAAGGAATGAGTGAATGATTGAATGAGTGAATGAGTGAATAATTGAATGAGTGAATGAGTGAATGATTGAATGATTGAATGAGTGAATGATTGAATGAGTGAATTAGTGAATAAGGGAATGAGGGAATGAGTGAATGAATCAGTGAATGAGTGAATGAGTGAATTAATGAATGAATGAATGAGTGATTGAATGAATTAATTAATGAATTAATTAATTAATGAATTAATGGATTAATGAATTAATGAATGAGTGAATGAGTGGATGATTGAATGATTGAATGAGTGAATGAATGAAGGAGTGAATGAGTGAATGAGTGAATGAGTGAATGAGTGAATGAGTGAATGATTGAATGAATGAATGAATGAATGAGTGAATGAATGAATGAATGAGTAAATAATTGAATGAGTGAATGAGTGAATGAGTGAATGAGTGAATAAGTGAATGATTAAATAATTGAATGAATGAATGAGTGAATAAGTGGATGAATGAATGAATGAGTGATTGAATGAATTAATTAATGAATGAGTGAATGAGTGGATGATTGACTGAGTGAATGAATAAATGAGTGAATAAGGGAATGAATGAAGGAATGAGTGAATGAGTGTATGCGTGAATTAATGAGTAAATTAATGAGTGAATTAATGAATGAGTGAATGAATCAATGAATGAGTGAATGAATCAATGAATGAGTGAATGAGTAAATGAGTGAATGAGTAAATGAGTGAATGAGTAAATGATCTGCCACCTACCGGCATTCTCAGCTATTGTACTCCCTTGCTCAAAATACCCAATCACACTTTCAGACGACTGCTTGACGGATCTGGCTGCTCAGTGGCAACTTGCTGATCCCACTCATCCACGAGACCTTGTCACCCTCTTTCCGACACCAACTGGAAACGACACATTTTTCGTCATCGCTTCTGTCACCCGATGCTTCTGCACAGCCAAAGCCGTGCTGACCGTTCTCGAGATGATTCGAGGAGACTCGATGCTTCGTCAATTCGTCACTTCGTCTTGAAGGCTTTCGAAGTCGTTCCCAAGTTGTACGCTTCTTGCCTCAGACAAAGTCGATCGCCACGGCGAAAAAGGGACAACATTCGCAATTCGTCGAATCAACCTCGATTGCTCATCACATCTTGTTTGTAGCCATGGCGACTTTTTAGTTGGCTTCGGTTGACTTTCTTGTTCACCTGTCTTGGCCGGATGATTAATTTCAGATGATTTTCGTCAAGAGTCGCGAATCTTGTTCGTAATTGTCAGCTCAGCAAAAGTTGCCAACGGGCCACACGTCGAAGCGATAAAAATAGCTCTAATTTGTTACGTTCTACAGTGACTACTCAGTGCTTTGAAAGTAGTCTGATGCAATGGTGCTATTTGAAGAGGAAAGATGCGATGTGTAGATTGCTGTTTTAAAGGACTGCGAAAATGCGAATTCCTCTCGTGTTCCACCAATCTCTTTAGCTGAGGGCTCCGCTGTGTCATCCGATCCCATTTGGTCATGCACGACAGGCCTTGACGATTGAACTGCTCATCACATCTTGTTTGTAGCCATGGCGACTTTTTAGTTGGCTTCGGTTGACTTTCGTGTTCACCTGTCTTGGCTGGATGATTAATTTCAGATGATTTTCGACAAGATAAGACAATCGCATAAACTTGACGAGATGACTGGCATTTTGAAGTGGAACGCTGAGTTGAAGAAGCCAACAAGGTCGTTATGGTTGCCAAGTCGATGGGATTAGGGGTACGAGAAAAAGTCGTCTCGGAAGCGAAAAGATTTGCCAAACAGGCCTGAGGACTTGAACCAAATTCAGCAAATGAGCTTCATACAGACACACACGCTGGCATACACATACGCAGAAACATGGTACTGGACTTTTGGTCACTTGCAGGTCTAAGTGTGTGCGGGTATCCTTCGATGCTGTGTCCTTTTTTGTCGACATGCAGTCCATCTGAGGAGGTATTAGAAGAACTGGAAGCTTGTTCATTGGTGCTTGAAGCAGGTCAACTCGACTTGATGATCCAATCAGGTTCCGGTGATTCCTTTTCTTCGCCGAATCAACCGCAAATTTCAATTCGCTTGACTCGAGTTCGAGCCCCGCACGTAAAAAGGATGCTTTTATTCGTTCCACTCTTCATTTATGTTTGATGCTCTTGTAATCACAGAATACACACACACACACACACACACACACACATTTCATACACAGTCAAAAAGCCCATCAACTTCATCAGATGTGTGTTCAACACTACCCAATTAGAATGATGGGCAAAATAGCGAAAAGATAGCCAAAATGGTGTTGATCAAATCTGTACAACTGAGGGCAGATGTTACATGCAACTACATAATCGTACACATGATGGTACATTACTACATGCCAACAGGAATACACACAATCTTTGAGGTTGA